TTTTTAAAGATGCATGCAAACGGAAAAGACAGAGAGAATGTACGGTGACACACGTATAATTTTTTATCGTGTTATCTTTAAAAATGAAAAACAAAATATATATAGTACTATACCTTTTTAAAAATAAATATTTATAACTTTTTTTTATTGAGCTTTTTCCTTTTTAAATGAATCCAAATAACCTAGTTTTGAAGTTTCACACAACTTTTGTTTAAGGAGTGTCACCTTGCGGTATAGATCCCTTTTATTTGTTTTTCCTTTTTAATCGTATATATATTTAGCAAATTTTTTTGAGGAAGTAATGTCACGTGATACCCCATAAGCTTTCTTAAATCCGCCCCTGGATACGAACAAAATAACTATGAAGAAGGATATTACGAACTAAACAAGATAAAATAAGACATTTTAAATAGAACATTTTGATATTCATCATTTATGTTAAGTGACATAAACCATCTTCAATGGGATGGTGATGATAACCTTCATGCATACAAAGAAATGACGAGGTGGGGAATCATCTAATATGATTTCTTTTATCGTACATTCGAAAATAAGTTTTGATAATCATTCGTTTTGATGCATCTTCACCTTTTATCACATGAACCAAACATGCATCAAGTTCTTATACACCAAATACTTCAAAAAATAAATTGAGCAACTTACAAAAATAACTATATTTATAGGGTTAACGAATATCAATAGCTATAAGTATGCTATTTACAATAAATGACTACAATTTATATCACTTTTTTGCTGTATTTTTGTATAGTTTTTTATTTTTTTATTTATACATTAATACATCTTTAAGTACAACAAACTAAAAAAGGAATTGACTCTAAATATAACCCACTATCCTTACATTAAGTCCATACAATGAGCAACTTCCCATAATTAACTTTATAACTGAAAATTACTCATTTAAAGACATATCATATCATATTCTTTATCAGTTTAACAAAAAATGTGATACATCATACTCAATTTTCTTGTTGTCTCCATAATTCTTATTCTGGCGTCATGAAGGTATTAATAATTTTTTTTTTGTTAATTCAAGTTATTGTATGTAAGCAAATTGTTGAATTTGTGAATGAAGGTTAAGTATTTCGATTTTGAATTAGGTGAACTACATGGCAAAAGATACACTAGTTGTTAAACAAAAAATGAATACACCAATATAGAATACAATGAATACGTTGTTGTTAAACACAAAAATGAATACGTTGGATACAACTATACTTGTATTCCCTAATCAACTTTTTATCTTGGATATAGTACTAATCTATCTAGATATAGCTGTATTCGCAAATCAACATTTCAACTTGTGCTTATAAAACAATACAAGTATCTATGTATATAAATATGGATACATTTCAACACTATTGTTAAGCAAAAATATGAATACATTAGACAAACGAGCAATAAAGATACAATTTGTGGGCATAAAACTGTATAAGTATGAATACATTAGACACATGAGCAAAAAAATATACAATTTGTAGGTATCAAACTGTATAAGTATTCTTGTAAATAAAATTTTTGAAAAGGCTAACAATATTGTATTGATGTATCCAACTATACTTGAATTCCTTAATCAAAATTTTAAATTTGACAGAGTACTTATGTATTCAAATATAATTGTATTCACAGATCAACAATTCAACTTGTGGTTATATAATAATACAAATGTCTATGTACATAAGTATTCTACTATATACAAAATTGACAATCAAAGAACCCTTAATCTCTTTTTTGTTCATGTTCTTTTTGTACTCATTTTTTAACAACTATATACATACGAAATCAAATTTTCTAACAATTTCAATACAAGAAGACAATCCATAATATAATGACAATGGCACACAATACATGTGTTGAGATATATAAGTAAATGACATTAAACTAAAAAAAATAAAGCATACAAATCTCAATTTCATTTTCCTCTTGTTCCTGCTCGACTGCTCTTTTTTCAGACCCACTTGAATCACAAGATTAGTTTTCACTTTTGAACCTTTTTTTCCTCTTTACTAATTTTTCATGTTCGATTTCTTCAAGCAGATTTAAGGGTATGGTCATTAACCTTTTTTGTTCTTCTTTCGTTCTCCATTGCAGCAATAGAGCCTGAAATTTTGACTTGTTGTTGAGTAATACACAAATCAAAAGAAGGTAGTTCATCCAACAATTTGTCAAATAAATGTATATCTCTCGTAACCCTCCTCGGAGTATCAATTTCAACCATTGAAATGGATAAACAAATTCTTGAATCAAAACCCTATGAAAATAGAAGAAAGTGTAGATGTGTAGATATATAATGTTCATAAAAATGAGATAAATATGCAATTAGAAGATATCTAATGGATACAAAATCACAAAAATCGCTCCTGCAGTGATGTAATGGATCTTGAATTTGAATGAATTTCGGGGGAAAAAATCAGAAAGTATGTGATGTATGAATATTGATGAAAGAGAAAAATTTGATGATGGTAAACATGGGAAAAGATCACAAATGTGTCTGCCATAATTAATTAGGCATTCAATAATTACTTTCCTATTTAATATTTATTTATTATATTAGTTATATATAAAAAAATTTATTTATTTGTACATAATTAACTTTGCTATTTATAGTCTAATTATATCCATATAACATGAAAAAAATAAAATATAGTTATTTTTCTTGAATATATATGAATGTTTGCCATATTATGAAGTTTTTCCAAAAAAATATGCATGACCAAAGTGAAGATTAGACATAATATGCATTATCAAAATATTCCTTTATTTAGTCATAAAATTATACGTTTTATCCTTTAAATGAATTGATCTTTAATTTTATTCTTCGAATGAATTAGTCTTAAATTTTTGTCCATTAACAGTTAATCTTATGCCTAATAAAGCACACGTCCTTTAGAAACTATAATCATATCCACTCATCACTAATGAGATATTAATATATGAACATATAAATTTATGTCTTTAAAAAATTGTTTATCACGATGCAAGTGAAAGACTAGCACAAAATAAGAGAAAAACGTAAATGACCCACTTTAACAACCAAGTGTAGTGGTTTGGGCTAAGATCCAGTCAGCCCAACTAAGAATTTATGATAAGTAGGCTGACCCCTTAAGCAAATAATCACTCTTGTGGTCTTGTATTTAGACTTTGGTAAAGTCGCTAACAACATTTAATCAGTGCATCATTTGCTCGTTTATTGGGTTAATTTTTAATTTTATCCTTCAAATAAGTATTTTTTTTTTTATTCTTAAAAATCAAATTTATATCTAGTAGAAAATAATTTTTTCTTGAACATAATGATATAGGTATAACCTGTGAGATATTATGATGTAAAAATATAAGGAAAAATGGTGTGATGTATCCTTCAACTTTGCACCTTGTTATAAAAGTAGCTCATACATATCTTATTATTATTATACAAATGACTCACATATATCATTTTCGGAAGTGGAAAAATATTTTTATTTTTTATTAAAAAATAACTCATGTAAGGTATATTCAACATGTTCATTTTTTTTTACTTCTTTGATTTAACGGTTAATTTAAATTTATTATTTTGATGGTCAAATTTATTTTTTCACTAACTTTCTTATAAAATTATAATAAATGACCCATTTTTCTTACAAATACAAAAAATAAATTACAATATAATCGTAAAATTGTTTAAATTTTTTTCTCTTTTTTCACTCACACAGTTTTTTTGAAATTTCTCACATGTTTATACTAAAGAACAAAATAAAAAAATCAAATAAAAATAAGAAACTCAAATAATAATATTAAAAAAAGTTAAAAAAAAAAGTGAGAGAGAAAGATCAATACTACAATTTGTTTTTTTTTTTAAAAAAATTCCAAATTATTTTTTTACTTCGATTAGATGAGAATGATATATGAGATCCATTTTTTTAACAGTAGAGATATATGTGAATCGCTTTCCTAACAATAGAAATATATCTAGACCACTTTTATAATTAGTTGTATATCGACTTTAAATAACAAAATTTAAAAATATAGCAAATCTTTTCTCAAAATATAAATTTACGCTTCGAAAAAATATTTACCCTATACACCCTATAGAGTAAAAAATAAAAATAAGGGCACAAAAGTGACAATGACCACCAACAAGTGTTGTGGTGGAGTGATAAATATTACTTTTGATTTTTTTGCGTGAATCTAAATTTAGTCGGGCTCCAATGTGGATAACCGTGGAAAACCAAAAAGAAAGTGAGTACTGCTTGAATCCAAATTTAGTCGGGCTCTAATGTGGATACAATTGAAAATAAAAAAAAGTGAGTACTGCTTGACTTTTCTACGCAAATTCAAATTTATTCAGACTCTAATATAAATTATAAATACTGTGGAAAACCCCCAAAAAAGTGAGCATTACTTGACTTTTTTGCATGAATCTAAATTTAGTCGGGCTCCAATGTGGATAACCGTGGAAAACCAAAAAGAAAGTGAGTACTGCTTGAATCCAAATTTAGTCGGGCTCTAATGTGGATACAATTGAAAATAAAAAAAGTGAGTACTGCTTGACTTTTCTACGCAAATTCAAATTTATTCAGACTCTAATATAAATTATAAATACCGTGGAAAACCCCCAAAAAAGTGAGCATTACTTGACTTTTTTGCGTGAATCTAAATTCCACAATTACTGGCCCATAGGCCCCCATAAGCAGTGGCGACTAACGAAAGTAGGACCATTGACGTTTTCCACGTGATCGTACATAGTGGCGTGGTTTTCACGCTAGAAATAGAATATTTTATTGAAATCTTTTTTTTCCAAATAAAATCGGAATCCATTTGACTTTTATCAAAACCCATTTAATAAAAAGAGACCCGACCTAACAAAAAAAATAAAAAAATAAAATAAAAAAGACAACAGATCTTCTTAATCCTATTTAGGTAATTCTGTCACCATGAATCTCCACCGTTCAATCTGCCACTCACAACTACTACTTTACAGGTTCCAGACTCGTTTCACTTCTCCCCTTTTTTTTTGTCTTTTTAAAAGGGGGGGCAGCCAAGAAGAAACACAACTCTTCTGAGAGATTGTTCACTGCTCATTTAGTTATTAACCTTGAACAACAACAATGTCGGGAGGGATTGCTCGTGGTCGTCTTGCTGAGGAGCGCAAAGCTTGGAGAAAGAATCATCCCCATGTTTGAGTTCATGACCCTTTTCTTGATTTTCTTCAGTTTTATAGTTTCTGATTTTGTAATTTTGGTTTTTGTGTTTTGTTTGTTGTGATGAATTTTGGGTATAGGGTTTTGTTGCTAAGCCGGAGACACTTCCAGATGGGTCAGTGAACTTGATGATTTGGCACTGCACTATCCCTGGTAAAGCTGAGGTGTGTTTTCATTCTTCGCCTTTGTTCAGTTTTCTTTCTTATGAATTGGGAAAGATTGGTTCTTTAATTGTTTGTGAGGATGAGGGGAAACCATGGGAAGCCTTCTTCAGTGAACACCCATTTTAGGGGTTAACCAGTTTGGTTAATCTTGGTTGACTTTTAGTATATGTTGATGCGTTGTTTTGATTGAAGTACCTTGGTTTATGGACTTGAAATTGAGTTGTTCTGTTACTGCAGTTTAGCATTAGTTTTATTTTATACCTGTAAATGCTACAGTTTATAGAGATTATTTGAATAGCTATTTGCATTTTGTACTGCTGGTGATTATGCAGTCTTTCGCAGCATGGAGAAAGAAAATACACCCCAATCCATTAATAGCCTCAGAATTCCGACTATCTTCTTATTTTAATAGAGATGCTTTTTTAAATTGCTATGCGATTTTCACAAACAAACATTTGCTTTTGGCAATGCATAATGTATTTTTCTTGTTGGTGTTGCTTCCTTTTCAAAATTGTTGAAAAGACCTTGAGGGATGTTGATGAGGTGCTTTGAGTTGTTGGTGTTCCCTACTTAGGCCTCAATGGATATTCTTTCTCTCGGATTCGGTTTAAGTGACTGCAAATCAAACTCATCTATAAAACGCGAAGAATTGTCTCTAAAACTAGCACTTGGTTGAGAAGAATTATGTTTTGTAAAAAATCTATCCATTTCAAATCACAAGAATCAACAACAAATTCTTACAAAAAAAAAAAAAAACGCTTAAAAAGAAGAACTTACCAATTTATGCAGAGATAATAGGAGTAGGACTTCAATTATGCAGTGAAGAATACTTGTAAGTTGTAGATTTTCTAGCAGCCGTATATTTTGTTTAGAATTGTGCTAGGGAAAGGAATGAGATGACAAAAAAAGGGAGTTAAGAAAGGGGGGTGGGGCGGGGTCAGTTGAGGTCGCAAAAATGAGTTTTAATAAAAGCAATTTTAAAAAAGGTTAACTCTAAAGAAAAAATTGATTTTAAAGTTAAAAAAACGTTACCTTTTGTGGGAATCGAACTCGCGCAGTCGCGGTTCAAGATGGCGACTTCGACCAGTGCACCAAAAAGACTTTTGGTTACTAGGGTGCACAATCAAATATATTATCGTTTTATCAACTATCTATATATATATATACGGTTTTTTAAAAAAAGTTACCGGGTGCATGTGGGTCTGCCTCTGTTGCTATATGATTTTGCACCCCCTATTTGAAACTCTTGGCATGAACTTCATATTTCTGAGGTATTCTCAAAAAAAAAAAAAAAAAAACTTCATATTTCTGAGTTATTTTTTCGAGAATGGTAGCAAACTCCATATCTATGACTTTATCAGCATGTGGTAATAATTATATATTCCTTTAATAGTTTATATAACGGAAGGCATATCTAAATATAAAACTCAACCTGTTCTAGTGAATCGCCTTTTGAACATGAGTGGGAAGGTTTCTAGAAATCACCGCTACTTCCTTCAGAAAAGTTCAGAGCCTCAAGAGAGGGAAGAAAAAGAAATAGAAGATGGAAAAGCTTTTATGGGATTTCTTTTTCTTTCCTCATATATCCAGGGGTAATGGAAGTAACCCTGGACCGTTCCTTTCCCCTAAGGAAAAGTTGGATAATTCAAATTTTAACACTACGAACCTCGTCATATGAAGTAGCACAGTTCAGTAGCAAGCCTTAAGTTTTATGAGTTGTTGGCATCATATTAGAAGTTGTATGCTTTCTGTTATTTACTCCTACCTGGTAAAAAGGCTTTCTGCATATAGAAGTACATAGTGTATGCCTAGTAGATGCATTAGTGTCAAACTTCAAGTGTAAACATGCAGAGTACATGTATGTTAAGATGGATCGATTGATTTATGTACCGTGCAAGCTGCAGAGTGTGCTTCTCTTATGCTTCTGGTTTCTTCCCTGCCTCCCTCATATCAGAGCATATAATGCTTGCTAATCTTGTAGCATTATCCTATTTTAATGAAAGTACTATGCTTGTCTGATGTAGGGGAACTCGTCTTTATCTTTCTGTTATTGTTTCTCCTAACGACAATTAAATGCTTGCAGACTGATTGGGAAGGTGGTTGTTATCCACTCACAATTCACTTCAGTGAAGATTATCCGAGTAAACCGCCAAAGTGTAAATTCCCACCAGGCTTTTTCCATCCCAATGTCTATCCATCTGGAACAGTTTGCTTGTCGATCCTCAATGAAGATAGTGTATGTGGGCTATATGCTCTCTTTGTATTCGTCTGCTTACTGACTGTGCTCAATGTATGATGGCTTATTATTTTCTTTTTCTTGTGTAGGGGTGGAGACCAGCCATCACTGTGAAACAGATACTGGTTGGTATCCAGGACTTGTTAGATCAGCCAAACCCTGCTGATCCTGCCCAAACTGAAGGGTATCATATGTTTATTCAGGTAATTTTGATTAAAAAAATGTTAATTCTCCATTTTTACAAACTCATTTCCTGCTCTTGATGTTATCCTTAAATTGTGTCTATTTTTCTGTGAGAGACTTTTTTTTCATTATAATATGTTAAGATGAACCATCGAACATACTTTCCTTTAGCCTTGCTGTCTCAATTAATAAAACAATATTCTATCTTGGGATGTCTCAAAATTTGGGCACCATTCTATTATACGATTATCTCCAATCGCAAGGAGTTAAATGCATTTAACTAGTCAAAATTAGGTTTGATGAAATATTTTTTCTGCCAATCCAGCTGTTTAATGTATTATTTTTCACTTTTTCTGATATATTACAATATTCAGATTTTGTATTTCAATTAACTTTTGTGTCCCATAAAATGGGATGGAAGCATTCAAGTCAAATTTTATTGGGAAGTTCTTTTAGTTGCTTATGTTCCATTTTATTGAATTGTATGAATTATAACTTTTACTTTGGCCCCCTTTTACTAGGATAGGAAGATTTTGACTTTTACCTTAATAACCACGTGAGATGGGATGAAGGAAGTGCTAATTGTCATATCTCTTGTACTATTATCGTATGCTTTAGCTTTATGTCACAATAATGTTCCTGCACATGGAGATTAGAAAGATACTGGCGGCTTTTGCTGTAGGTTAAAGGCATTAGTGATTGGTACGTCATCATTTGGGAGCTCCAGAACCTTCCGATTTCTCTTTCTCGAATTATTTCAGATTCTAATAATACATTTAGGAAATGGCAGAAAGATTCGTAGTTATCTCATTAGTGGGACAGACATTGTGGTGATGATGTTAATAATAGTAGTTTAGAGGTCCATATTGCGTCTTTTCTTGGTCATGCTTGTAACTGTTGAAAGATGTATAAGTTCTGAATAGGAGTTTTATTCTCCCTGTTTGACGCACATTCATTTGCTGAGTTCTTGCAGGATGTTCTGGAGTACCGAAAGAGGGTGCGCCTGCAGTCTAAGCAGTATCCACCTCTTGTTTAAAGAATGTTTGTCTAATGTTGTGGTGGCTCTATAATGTACGTCTATGTTTGCTGTCAATAGAGGACAAGGAATCTGCCAGCTAGTGATTCTGATTGGTATTTGTTTAAGTGGAGAAGTAAATATTTATAACTACAGGATTTTTATCTCTGATAGACTATATCTGTAGAACAAGCACAGCTGCAAATTGTTATCTAAATGCGTTGAAAGTTATTTTCTTTTGCAAAACTTCCAAAAATCTTGCTCCAGGGAATATAATGTGTGTTTTGGATCCAAAATTAGCTCTGTTCTTTCTGTTTTCTTCCTTTTTTTGTTGTTCGTCTGAAAATGCCAATGTAACAATTACCAAAAGGGAACAATTTTCACTGGCAAGTCTTTGGTACGTTTTGATTCCTTTGGGAATTTTTGTCTTTGCCTGCACCAAGGACACATTAAATTGTTTGATGTGATATCTAGTTCACTATTATAATATATTTCCTCTATTTCACTCCCTCTATGATAAAGTTTAGTAATGTTAGTTCATTTTAACTTTTTGTGTAATTTCCGTATTGATTCATATATCTCTTTCTTATGAAGAATGATTGATAACTTTTAAATAACATTTGAGAAAATAGTCCAAGAAAGAACAGTTCGATTTCTCATCAATCACTATCATATAGTAAAATAGAGTAGAAGAAATATTTTTTGTCAAGGAGCATTGTTTCTTTTGTTTGCACCTTCGCTGGATATGAACGTGTGATGGAAAAAGTTACAATTATTGAATCCGTGAGCCATTATTATGTATCAATTACTCGTATCTGTTTGTTTGAGCCTATGAGCCTGTGGCAATTCTTATTTCCTTGGGAGTTGTGTAGTCATTAAACAACTCTTCTCCTGCTAAGTTGATACTAACCAACCATGCAGAGAAGGGAAAGGTCAGAATTTGGGTTAGCTTTACCATTCAAAATTATACAATATTCTTCTGCCATTAAGGTAAAGCGAATACATTTTGAAGTTCTTTAGAAAAAGAATCAACCAAAACCACCTACTACAATATGCCCTAAAAATATAGGCACCATATGTTTGTGTGACCAAAAAAGAGAGGGATTTCAACGAGGGGAACAAAATGTGTCGTAATCTTCAGTGACTAAGTTGACCATGTTCTAGCAGATAGACCTTAACCTGTCAGTTTTAGGTTGTTTACTGCTGAATAGTAAAGGTACAAGCACCATTATAGTTGATGAGTCATTTGGTCTATCTGAGCAAAACTCAATTACAGATATGTTGTCGATCAATGGCACTTTGCGAAGGGGGAGATGACACTTACTTACAATTGACCATGTACCCTCGCTGGTTAATGGTGTAACTGCAATTCAGAAGAAGCTATGAGTATCCATTATGTGCATCTCTTTTGTTATTCTCCACCATTGCACTATCCTTTATATCTTGTATCATTTTCAAGATTTGCCTCATTGTTGGTCTCTGTTCTGGTGATGTCAAGCTACATATACTAGCAAGGTCAACTAGCATTGCAAGCCATCTATCCTCCTCATTATCATCCTCCCTCATAGCTCTAACCCAATCCGGTACATCAGGGGGAGAGAGATGTGGATGCTGAGATGGAGGTTTGCCCGTTAAAAGCTCTAATAACAGAATACCATAGGCATATACGTCAGACCCTGGTGTGGCTCTTCGTGCTGATTTGCGCACTTCTGGTGCTTTATAGCATGCTGAATCAGGATCATCCTCCGAAGAAATATCTGCAAGCGCGATGATGGAGTAGTCTGTTAGACAGGCCTCAAAATCAGACCCTAGAAGGACGTTGGAGGATTTCAAGTTGCCATGAGTGAGCTTTGACGCTTGATGGATGTAAGCAAGGCCCTGAGCCACATCTTCTGCTATTTTTAGACACGATGTCCAGTGAAGAGGCTTTGCCCTTGTTGATCTTGAACCTGCCACGAACAATAGAAAATTGAACACAATATATAAGTAAACGAACAACAGATTATCAGGTTTTAGGTGAAAAGACCAACCACTTAAACACAGAATTATATAGAGGAATCAATCTTCTTGAGCAGAGTAATCTATGAAAGTGAAATCCCAATTTCTTGATAGCGTATCACAAGGGGATACAAAAAATGCAATACCTAGGATTCAAAAAAATGTAAACTAAGCAAATTCATACCATTTCTGTCACTACACTAAGAGTTCCCAAGGATGTTCTAGTTCTTTCCCTTAATCCTTCTATCTAACAACGTTAATGTTCACTTAAAGTAAATTTAATATTTAAGAAACAGAGAACATTTGGACAAGTAAAAGGAAAACACCAAAAAGTTACTGTCAACATCCTATTCAACTTAAAGAAGAAGCAAACATACTCATAAATACCAAAAAGACAGACGCAAGAGCCAAGGACCATTTGCCTCAATGCATGATAAAAATATTTGAGGAATATAATGCTATCAACCCATACCGGTCAGTCAGTGACAGCCTGAAACTAAAACACATTACTATTTGGCTGCCCTGTAAACACAAACTTTGCAATTGTCGGTAGTGAACTCAGTGGGAGCCATGTTAGGCATCCACACTAAAAGCTAAAAAAGTCCCCTGCTACTACAACCATAGCAACCACTGAAAGATCCAAAACACTACAACTAATTTCTGTAAAGGAAAAAAAAAGCTAGATAGTGATTAGCCAGTAGCCACAGACAACTCACTCTTCCACTTTTTTCTCCATCACAGGTCCACCAAATTGACTTCACATTGACCAATTAGCAGAATTACCAAAAATGAAAAATAAACATTGATCCATTTCAGATGAACTAGTAATGATATATTAAAAAGTTAGAAACTTTACCATGAATTAGATTGAAGAGACTGCCATTAGGCTGATAATCATAGATAACAAGCCTTTCTTGTTTAGCCTGAAAGTATGCTCTGACTGCAACCAAATTTGGGTGCCTCAACATCCCAACTGACTCCATGTGTTGCTCAAACGCTTCTGCACTCGTAATCGAAGTTTTACCAGCATCCAATCGCTTTACTGAAACGATTAACTGACTAGCCATCAGAGCTTTATACGTTGTTCCAATTGTGCCTCTTCCAAGCAACTCTGCTGATGCTCTCATTAGTTGTTCTAAAGAATACAACTCTGTTTCCCCTGAACAAAATATCAGATTTCCACTCTTCATCTGTTGTTTGGGGGCTTGAAGCACTTTCATTTCTTTTTCTAATTTAATCTCTTGGCTACTATCATCTGGCTCAGAAACCGTTGCGTTCGCTGCACTATTAGTGATGGTCTCAATGGTACATTTTGTTGCTTTTGATTCAGTTTCAGTTTCTTCTCTTCTCTTTTTCACAAAAGCAAAAAGACAGAGAACAGCTGCAATCAAGATCAATGTTCCAACTACAAAACCCAAAACAACACCAACTTTTTTGTGTTTGTGCTGAGGTGGAGGAGTAATAAGAATACCTTGCGACTGTGCGTTTTGGTATAACGGTGTGGGCGGAGAGGCAGCAGAGGAAGGTGAATCAAAGAATGGAGCCGAACGGCACGGCTTATCAACAACCTCACCACAAAGACTAGGGTTCCGTAAGAACGAGCGTATGTTAAATTTCTTCAGAGTTGGAGTAACAGGTACTGGACCAGTGAGGTTATTATTAGACACATTGAATATTTGGAGTTGGGTCTGGTTCAACGGCGGAATCGAACCGTTAAACCAGTTGGAATCAAGCCGGAGATAGTTCAACCGGTCAAGAACAGTAAGCCTAACAGGGAGTGAACCAGTGAGATTGTTCCGAGAAAGATCAAGAATAACAAGACGGTGAATAGAAAGAACAGAAAGGGGAAAAGTTCCAGAGAAAAAATTATGATCAAGAAACAGAGTTTTGAGGTTGGGAAGACCGGAAAGATCAGGAATAGGACCGGAAAGTGAGTTATTCCTAAGATTAAGGATTCGGAGTTGGTCAAGATGAGTTAAACTATTCGCCGGAAAAGTACCCCGGAGACTAAACCCTTGAAGAACAAAACGCACAACACGACCCTGTACACATTTCACTCCTCGCCATTGACAGTAATCAAAACGCTCGTTAAGTGTGTAATGAAGCTTGTTGTCAAGGTCAGCTTTTGACTTGAATGACAATAAAGAAACAGCGTCGGAGGGAAGCAAAGAGTTGAATGGAGCAGAAGGGGTAGAGGTAGCAGCAGCAGAAGAAGAACAAAAGTAGAAACTGTAGATTAGTTGAAGAAGAAAACAGAGCAGAAGCATCAATGGGGACATTGCAAGTTATGCAACTAAAATTGTCGAGTGATTTGGTTTTAGTGACTAGAGGCCAAGTTTAGTGTTTGTTGTTGTCATGTTGTGCGTGAAAGGAGGTCTGAAAAATGGACTGGATTTTCGGAGACAGTGAGGAACTATGGAGAAGAGTGAAGTGGGAAAACGAGGGGTAGGGTGAAGAAGAAAGAAAATGACAAATATGGTCCATTAATTTTCGCCGTAGGGTCAAAATAGTCTCTAACGATTATATAAGCAATAAATTGTGCTCATTTTTCTTCTATGACTCTGGAAATAAGTTATTTCACGATTATGTTATTTCATTCTCAATGTGCTATTAAAAAAAAATGCTAAAATTCCAAAATAGTTTAAAGTATTTCTTATTTCTCATATCAAACGTGTCCAAAGGGATAAAGCTACTTAATTAAATGATTATTTTGAAGATTAAGAACCATTTTCGGAAATATAGTTATTGGGGAGCAGCTGGCTTAGAACATGGGTCAGTGTCACGTGAAAGTGGAGAAAGTATTTACAAGAAAAACAATTGGAAATTTTTGTAGAGAGAATAGTCATTCGTCTGAATCTCCTGCTAATTTTACTCCTTTTATTTATTTAGTCGTGAATGTGTGCATATTTTTTATTTGTCTTAACACACTGCTACAGTCTCCTCCCTTCCTCTTTATTTAAAAGGTCTTTCGCTTTTGCATTAATGATGAACAGTTATTGTTAGCTAACTCAACGGAGAATTACTGTTTCAATTTGTAAAAATTATACTATATTTTTACATGTCTATGCTACTAAAAATAAATTAAGCAGTTAAATGATTTTTTAGTCATGAGTGTTACAAAATTTATAAATAATACTATTTAAATGAATATTTGTTAAATACTTTGAAACGTTTTTAAAATGAGAAAGGTATCATTACAAATTAGAATATAAAGATATGAGTTGGAAGAGTGAAAATTAATGGAGGTGGTATAGTGTTATCCCTTTTTGACTAATACCACATCTTTTTAAGCCAATCATAACGTGATCTTATGAGGTGAGTGATTACCTTCCCTGTTAAACATCAATAATCAAAATACTGTATTCATAAAATATAAGAAAAATATTAATAGAGTATTTGTATTTAAATCGCTGCTTGTTTGATCAAACACATTTTAAAATCTTGCAAAAAATGATAGCCGTGATGGTTGTGATATAGGTGATTAATGATGGTAACCGATTGACAATTGAGCAAGCAAGATGGAAAATGACATGTTTCCTTCTTTTCTTAAAGTCCAAACTTTCAAGGCCTCAACCAAAGTTTTCCACTCTTTTAATCCCTTCTTTTTCCCCAAAGTAGTGTCTTTTTCATATAAAGACGATTAAAATGTATTGGGGCACGATAAAAGGTTCTTTACCTCTAGAGTTGTCTTTTCTCCTCTACCGTGGGCCTATTTACAAAGCTAAAGTGAATGTTTTTACTACCTTTTTGCAATTGGGCACCTTCTAATTGCCAATAATTCTTCTAAACATATAACAATCGAAATCTTATTAGTAGCAAATTATGACGTACTTGAGTATAAAACAACTTGGATAGTTAGTTGATTTGTGTAGCACAAATGATTTTGATCGAAATATCTACCTAACGTGCCACATGATCACACCAATCGTGAATCTTAAGCTCTGAAATTGAACTATATATGTAATACAACATAAAGAGCAGTGGACTCACTGATCACTTGTTTAATAAATTAAATTTCTGAATTCAAAATCAATTATAATGACTGACGCATTGTTGGTCAAGGATCTTGAGATAATTACTCATACATGACAAAGGCTGAGGCTGAATTTCCATGATGTTGGCCCAAAATATTACTATTAATGACACCATAAGGCCCACTATCATAATTGGTTTTGAACAAATTAAAGGTCCCAACATTTCTTTCTTATTACTATTGTTGAAATTGGCTATTTCATACTAAATGGAAGTTATTACTAACGTTCGAATTTGATAGATGACACAGACAACTTCAGAAAATTAAATTACATCAACAAAAAAAAAAGGGCGAGGGGCAAACGTATAGTACTAGTCATATTTAAGGCTTCATAACGTCACTTTTCACAATTTTATTGTTTTTTGAATTGTTTCACAAACTGCCCAAATTCAATAGAGGATCTAGATAAGTTGCATTGTATTAAAATTGAAATTTTCTTGCACTGTGGCATAATGGGACAAAAGGGTTGGTGAAAGATGTAGACTTGATTGAATTTTATATTGAAGCTTAGGACTTGACAACAAAAAATTAATAAATTAAGTGAGTCCGAGCAAATGGCATGTTCTAAATTTAGAGAGTTCTATTTTAGTTGATAGTTCCAATTGACCTAACATTATAGTTGGCACCTTGCATCAAGAATTGATCATCCACACAAAAATTGTGCTCAAAAAGCAAATATCCCTCTTTTTCTTCTTATTCCCTAATACGATTCGAATTTTTTACCCACCAGTTAAATGTATAAATGACGAAAAAAGGGTTAAAATTAAAAAGGATTCACCAACTAAGCAAGTTTTACTCGTCTAAAAATAAATAATATCTCGCTTCTTACCTAATCATTCAATACGTTCCTATCGTAATCTACACACGTCTACTCCTCTTTTTTTTTTTGTTTGGATAACTCCAAGTAGGTTTAGGAAGTATGGTTGACTTATTTTACCTAAGACGGAGAATTATATGTGTGCATAATTTTTACAGTACGCCAAAAATGTCATTAAAAAAAAATCCAACATATAAAGAAATCAAGAGGTTTCAATATTTACTATATAAAAAGTAATTTCAACCTTACTTTACAATATACTCTAAATTTTTTAACAAAGAGAGTTCGGATGAACGCTAGCTCTGCACATGTGTATAAACCCAGTAAATTAGATGAATTCTTGCGTCTAGAGTATGCAACAAGGACCGGACTTAATTGTTATTAATCTGTGTATAAAAAAAACAGAATTACTGATTTCAATAAACTTTGCAGAAACACGAAGTAACCAAAGTTTAATAAACCAGTAAGAATAGATGAACAGAAATTAATTGACAAAACTAAAATCTGTAAAAAACGTACCACAATCTGGAAAAACAGAATCAAAAAAAGATCAAGCCCACTGAATGCACAGTGTCCCCTTAAGGAAATTATTCCCCTCTAGTATCCGAGGTTTGATTTGGAATATGTCCTCCCAGGATAGAATGATCTCAATCACCAGTGTATTGATACCCAAAACTCTGGTGTCAGCGAACCACTCAACAGCAGTAAAATACACGAAGAAATTTTGTGCAGAAGAAGAAGAAGAAATCAGAAAAATTCGTTTTTAATAATTCTGAAGAATCAATGTATTTATAGGCAAGAGAAACTGGTTCTGAAAGGTTGCAATCCTTTCAGAATCCACACGACCATTCATGAAAGTTTGCAACCTTTCAAACGGTCATGGCAGTTTCTGAAAGTTGCAACCTTTCAGAACAGTCACTGCGGGAAATTTAAATAAAACGGGAAAGATTTAAATAAAACGGGTCGCGCGTGGATCCGAGTCGGGTCGGGTCAATTAACTAATTAATTGAATCGGTTAATTAACTAATTAAAACGTTGGCCATTTAATTTAATTTAATTAATTAAATAATTAATTAACTAAAATAATTAAAACAAACTTTGTCCAAAAAATAATCTCTCGATCGATCATTTTTTCAAATCCGAAGCCGAGCGAGCGACGACGACGGCGCGAGGGGGGTCCCTCTTTCCAACCCTTTTAACAATTAATAGGAGTGTTTCTATATTTAAACTCTCCTATTTTTCTTTCCACCACCGATGAGGGACCAATGTATTTTCAATGTCTTTTCAATAAAGCATAAGAGGACTTTTCAAGTTCTCAACTTTTCAAGTTCCCAACTTTTTCCAAGTTCCTCTTTCATCTTCCCTCAATTTCCCATTAACTCTTGCTACATACCCAACATTAATTCCAATAGAAAACAATGCACAGATGAAAAAAATTACCTATAGTAATTCGTCTCCGGTGGTTACTTCTGATAAATTAATTGCACGGAACATGTACTTCGTCTGTCCCAATTTATATGACTCACTTTTCTTTTTAGTTCGTCTAAAAGAAATGGACACATTTATATATTAGTAACAATTTAACATCAAAATATTCATTTTTACTACTGATGAAATGATTTTTAGCTACACAAATATTTATCGTTCATTTTAAACCACAAGTTTCAAAAAAAAAAAAAACTTAAATACCATGCCGAGTCAAGCTAGTACTCCCTCCGTCCAAGAACAGTTGTCCACTATACTGTTTTGGGATGTCTAATAATACTTGTCTACTTTATGAAATCAATGGATAATTTTACACTTAGTTTCTAATTTATTCTTATCATTAATTATAGTCATTTCTCAAGACATTGTATTTATTATATTCAAAGGGTGATATAATAAAATTACTTTTCTATTTATAGTTTTGTAAGAAGTGTACAAAATTAATAGTGGACAAATATTGTTGGACAGAGGGAGTAAAATATAACATGGAGTTATAAACATGGTGAATAATTAAAAATGGTAAGTTGCAACAAATTAGATACACTTGAGAAGCTAGTAATATGTCATCAACTAACTCTAATTTTGTAAGATACATGTGAAAGTATTTTAATGTATTTAATGGCATCTGATTCTCCTGCTCCAAGTGTTAAATGCCATAGTTTATTATTATTAGAGGTTACGTGAGAAATAAAGATGGAATGAGCAAGGAAAAGCGACTTCCTGCTTGTAAATTAGTTACTCAGTCACTACCAAATACCTTCCCTTCAACTACTCCATTTTCAATAATCTAAACATTTTTTAGATGAAAATAAAACAAGGTAGTTGCAACAAAAAATTGAGTTAACCAATCACACAGCCAAATGGTCAACTTCTCATTGCCAACGAAACTTTGCTTTACTTAATTAAATATTGGTGGGATTGTAATGTCATCATTAGTACTTTATAACTCACTTCATTTTTCTCACAAGAAACTCATCACAATTTCATAGAATTTCCAAGGCTATCTTCGCAACCAAAAAAAAAAATCAAAGATGAAGAATACTATTGGAAGTAGCACAAAGTTAATACTTCTTCATCCTTATATACAAAAACAGGGGAGTTCGAATCGGTTTTGGGCGTTGGCTTTTGTGTCATTTTTAACACTTGCTTTTCTTCTTACTCTGATATATACGAGGGAGTCAAAAATCACGACCTCTATAGCTGTTGCGTCTACAATTACTAGTACAAGTACACCACCATTGTCAAAAGCTGTGGCTAGGGCACTTGTTCATTATGCATCGAATTCGAATAATACAGAACATATGTCTTACACAGATATCAAACATATTGCTGATGTTCTCCAAAAATGTTCTCAGCCTTGCAATTTACTTGTTTTTGGACTTACACACGAGACTCTTCTCTGGAAAGCCCTGAATCACAATGGGAGAACGGTTTTCATCGATGAAAATCGATATTATGCTGCTTACATTGAGGAAAAATATCCGGAAATTGAAGCTTATGACGTGCAGTACACAACTAAATTGAGTGAAATGAAGGAATTGATTGCTGGAGTGAAGGAACAAGTCCGGAACGAATGCAAGCCCGTGCAGAATTTGCTGTTTTCGGAGTGCAAACTCGGGCTAAATGACTTGCCAAATCAATTTTATGAAGTGGATTGGGATGTAATTTTGATTGATGGTCCAAGAGGGTATTGGCCTGAGGCACCAGGACGAATGTCAGCTATTTTCACTGCTAGTGTATTGGCGCGGAGCAAGAAAGGGGGAAATCCAAAGACGCATATTTTCGTGCACGATTTTCATCAACAAGTGGATAGAATTACAAGTGATGAGTTCTTATGCAAAGAGAATTTGGTGAAATCAATGGACATGTTGGGGCATTTTGTGTTGGAGAGAATGGATGCGAACAGCTTTCAATTCTGTCGCAACCATAACTCAACAACAGCAAATTCATCTTCTTAGCACATTTTTATGTTGTTATGATCTATCGGCTTTGTTTTCTGTTTCATTTTATTTAAAGATGTTGCAGATTTTTGGACTTGTTATGCTAGGGGGCCAATGTAAAAAATAACTTCTCGTTTGGTATATTGTCAAATGTATTCTTTTTTTTTTTTAATGAAAAAGGCAATTGTTTTGTCAAAAATTTCCTATCAAATATTTAATGGAGATCAAAAGTAGTTCATTTACAAACTTAAAAGGACCAAAATCGATTAAGAGTATATATAAAAGACTAGTGTGAACCTTACCTAAACATAAGGACCATTTTCATCATCTTTTGCAAATAATTGTTCGGTATATTTGGCCCACAGGAATCTTACAAAAATGTAACAGCTAAGGCGAGAAAAGGCATAAAATAGTCCATTCATCTTTGGATTAAGACTCAAAGTCATCCTTGAGTTTTCACGTGAAACATTAATAGTCCCTCATGTTTGTAATATTGGTGCACTTTTGGTCCTCCTTCAAAATTTTGCCTATTTTTTAACATTAATTTTATTCATAATTTATGTATGGAATGTTTAATTGTCATTTTATATATTTAGTAGAAATAATAACTCCATCTGAGAATTGTGAGAAGAAAAACACCTTATTTTGTTTAGTAGAAATTGTATTGCAGGTAAAGTCGAGACGTTCATCACAACGATTTCACATATAATAGTACAAATTTTTCTTTTCTTGCAATGTCATATGTTAAAATATTCTTAATTTAGCTACAATAATATTTATATTGAATAGAACAAAGTGTCCTTCTTCTCACCTTCTCTCACATAGAGTTATTAAATATATAAAAAGACGATGGGTCAATCCTTACATAAAATTAGAGCCGTTAATATGGGCTAGGCCCGTTGGGCCGGCCTGGCCTAACCCGGGATTTAGTAGGGCTGGGCTAAGATTTTTGGAGTCCATTTAAGAAAAAGACTTTTTAGCCCGGCCTGAATAAGCCTGCTTATTTGTGGGGCTTGAGAAATATAGGTAGGGCCAGCCCGTGGGCCAAATAAAAAAAATAAATATATAATATAATATTAAAAATTAAAATTAAAGAGAGTCCAAACTCAAAATCTATTTAATATTTAACTAATTGAAACCGCATATAAATTGCAGATGAAAATAAAAATGTTAAGACAACCTTGCCACAAGCTGATTCAGATATGCTTGATGAAGATGATCATGAAGTGTTGGATACGCCATAGATTTCATGATGTGTTAGATACGCCATAAGTTTCATGATTTTTTTAAGGAGTTTATTTTTAACTTTTTTATGGTTGGAATATTGTCACATTTTTTGTGTTTTAATGTGACAAAACAATTATGTTAATATTCCTATTTAGATATTTATACTTTTATTTGAAAAACCTTAATAAATATTATAAAGATAATTTTATTTGTGGATTTGATTAACAAGTAGTAACATTAACACCATGTAATATTGTTTTGTCGATATCTATGATAATATTTTAAAATTATAATTTATAATTTATTTTAATAATTATAAAAAAAATATAATTTTTAAAAAAATGGGCTGGCCCGGCAAGCTACAACCCACATACTTATGGGCTGGGCCGATCGTTTTCTGGCCCACACCAAAAATGGGCTAGCCCGGCCTGACCCGTAAAATGTCAAAGCCTGTATGGGTCAGCCCGGATGGGATGGGCTAGCCCATATCGACAACTCTACATAAAATTAATGTTAAAAAATAGGCAAAAATTTAAAAGAGGATCAAAAGTGCACCAATATTGCAAACATGAGAGATTAATAGTGCTCAATGTGAAAACTCAAAGATGAGTTTGAGTCTTAACTGTCACGACCCAAATCGAGTCGTGAGTGGCACCCACACTTAACCTCCTAGGTGGGTGAACCAATGAATTCAACCCCAACTCATATTTATCATTCAACTTACAAAACTAACCATAATGCGGAAGCTTAAATCTTATTAGTGTGAGAAACACAAACTCACTACTCTACTATATGTCATTCCCAAAACCTGAAAGTCATCACATCAAGGACATCTGATTTCCAAAGAATAAGTCTAAGAGTATCAAATTCACCGAAATAAATGAAATAAAGTAATTTGTGTCTGAAAACTAAGGATATCAAGTCATGATCGAGAGAATCCAACACAAGCTCGAATGAATAGCTCACCCTTGACCCTGATATGCTGAGACTGGCTAGAGCTGAGGGCAAGTCAAAGTCGCTAGTACACTCGCTGCACTCCATAAAAGGAAAACAAAGAAAAATACAAGTAGGGCTCAGTACGGGGCAACATGTACTGAGTAGGTATCATCGGCCAACTCAAAATAGAAACTAATATACAATGAATAATAGTATAAAGTCAACTATAGCACTTAGCAGGCGATAAGAAACAACAACATGAACAAGTGACAGTTAAAGCAAGTACGTAATCAATCACAATATCAAGCGCACACATACGAGGACTCATGCCTCCGCATCACACTCGTTTGGGAAATGCGTTCATTAAGATTGAGTACATTAAGTTAATTCAATATCTTTTTCCTTTAATGTTACCGTGTCGGAACGTGACACTCCGATCCAATTATACCGTGTTGGAATATGACACTCCGATCCAATAATACCGTGTCGGAACGTGACACTCCGATCCAAAAATATCGTGTCGGAACGTGTCACTCCGATCCAAAAATACCGTGTCGGAACGTGACATTCCGATCCAAAAATATCGTGTCGGAACTGACACTCCGATTCAATAATATTATTAATTTATCATTTATTATCACCACTTTTCAATTCATTAATAATATTACATCAAGCCTTTTTTATTCAAGGCATCACTTCGATAGAGAGGTTTTCAGATTATAAATCTCACGGTCTCAGGATTTTAGACCAATCACAAACCACACAACAAAGCCACACAATCAAGTACATAGAGAACTTCACAGTATCATTCAATGCATATCAATAGCTATTAAGAGTTTATCTATCAAATAGAATAAACCATAACCTACCTCCACCGAAGAACCGAAGTCAAGAACGTTACTTCACCAATACTTTTCCTCTCCTAAATCTCCTCAATGCCTCCGAACCTTTCCAATCTATCAAGTATATATGCATAATTTGTAAGTTAACGAGTTTATAGGCACCCAAAACTATAATCAATTTCCTAAAGTTCAAGCCTAAGGGTTTTCTAAATTATTTCAATTAGCATAACTTTAATGGAATTTAAATAATACAATACATCTACCTTAACATATCCAAAACTTGTTTTATAATATGATAATTAGAAGAACCAAATTTAGAACGAAAACTAATTGGTTATGAACCAATAGCCTGCCCAGAGAACAAACTACAGAACGTTACTATATGTCCGCAATTTAATCAACTTTATTCTTCTCAATTCCACAAATCATTATACTTTTATTGTTTTAAAGGTAGCAATCATTATGCCTTTAACAAATTTCCAGCATCCTAACCATATTAGTGAATTTGTAGTGTCAATCCGCAAGTAAATAAAATTACAACATCTAAGACCATCCAACATTCTTATACATTACTGCAATCATTACCCACCACAATTTGTCTAGCATAGGTTTTTAAAAACCTACCTTTTCTATTGTTTTCTAACCAAACAATACCATAATGTATATTGCATATGGTAGCAGTTACTGCGCAAGACCAAAAAAAAAGAACGAAAAGAGAATTATATGCAGAAACTTTTCCAACTAAAAAAATGATTCTTTCTATCCCTCCTTAGCTCATTATTATCCAAATCATTGGCATCATTAATTTCTTATACAAGATTCCTCTAATATAACAAATTACATACATAATTTGTTAGTCTCTTTCCATATAATAATATAAAATCATACGACAATAGGCATAGTATGATGCCATTCAACACACACTAGAGTATTATTATTCTTACCCGCATGCGCTCGGCGACCCCCGCTCCTAATCTGTCTATACATGCAAGTCTTCTAACCTAATTTATTTTGTGTAAATTTCATATATGACATATATTATAGTACTATTTTCAAGCTATAGCAGTAGATTTAGACTTTCAAGCTATAACATTAAAAATTTCAGGTTATAACAAATTTACAAAAAAAAAGAAATGTTTGTATTAATTGAAAAAAACTTTTTTTAAAAAAAAGATAAACAAAATTTTAAAAAAAAAAACGGAATTAGAAATAATAAAGAAAAAAACTAAAAAAATGGAAATAGATGTATTAATTAAATTTGAATTGATTGATGATAATTATTAATTAGCATAAATTTAGGAGATTCAAACTAATTAGGAATATTTGTTTTCCTTAATTCACTCTAATCTGTTAAAATTAATTAAAAAGTCTTATTTTATCCATTTTCAAAAAAACAAAATAAAACCAGATGTAATTGATGTTGGTGCAACATTTAATGATCTCTATTTTAAATTGTAAGATTCGTTTATTCTAGTATTTATACAGATTGTATACAACTTCATACATCTTTAAAAATACTTAATCCACGCTTGTTAAGACAATATAATTTACAATTAGGTTGTAAATTGTCCAGGATGAAAAAAATGTAAAACAAAAATGTAATTGAGGTTGTTACAAAATACAATTATCACTATTTTACATTGACATAATCGTTTATACAAGGTATTTATACATGTTGGATACCAACTTCATTTTTTTTTTTTTTTTTTTTTTTTTGTGTTAGAGTATGCATTTGGATGCCAAAGGTGTACATTTTGGATACCAATTATAAGTCAGAGTTAGTTCATGAACTCTAAATTAGTAGTATGATTTCTTTCTAGTTAATAAGACATTGTAAAATCAGAAACTCTAAATGTTGAATCCAATTTGTATGCATTTTGTATATAATTGTTATCCCGAGAATTATTAAAGTCAATGTGTAATTTATCTTTAGAATGGTGTATCCATTTGGAATGCAGTCTGTATATAACTAGTATCCTGCGATTACAATAGTCAATCTGTAATTCATATGTAATTGGTATCTTTTTGAAATAAAACAGTGGATATTATATATATCAAATACTTAAAGCTGTAACAAACACAAAAATATCGTCCAAAAGTAAAAAAAAAACTTGTAATTCTAAAAAGTCTAAGGTGCAATCAACTATCTCAAATTTGATCTCTGTGGTCTTGGTGTGGGATAATTGTTGGTATTCGGAGCATGTTCTTTTGCTATGCGGGTCCATCAAATTTGCTAGCAACAGTGCCAGTTACTTCACTCTCACTGGTCGCGCCATCATCATTCTTTGTTTTTCCATAATGCCATATGATTGTGGCATACCTTTGACGATGGTACTTTGCATCGATATCAACTGAACGCATATAAAAAACTCCATTACTGATGTATTCAGCAAATAGACACGTGTACAAATCACAATCACTGAAAAAAATTTGAAAGAAAAATCATTTTATACCATTTTCATACCAATGTTAAAAATTTAAATACATTAATGAAGAAATTGAAAAAGAAACCTTCCTATTAGAAAAAATCCCAATTTCATATCAATATTAGTCATAATTCATACAAAACAGAGTAATTTAACAATTCATACCATTTGCATACCAATTTAACAACTCATACCATTGGGCTACTGATATCAAACCAATTTCATACCAATGTCAAAACACAATTCATACCATTTGCATACCAATATTATATCACATTTCATATAATATCCCAAAATCATATATTAAAGTCAGATTCATATAAATATTATTCACATTTCATACAAGTTTCACCCAAACAAAAGTTTCGAAACAACAATAAGCATAATGTGATATTTTTAGCAAAAAAATCACTAATTTGAATAATGTGAAAATAAATTAAATATAATACTTACCCTAACAACTTTTTTTGCCTTTTTTGGATATTCGAATTTCTGATTCCTTCTTTTTTGTTGTTCTTCTTGTTGATGGTTTTGAAGATTGAGCAATTTCTACATTTGTTGCTTCTTTTTTTTCTCTTTTTTATTTCACTAACAAAATCAGAATTCGAATCAAAAAGGGTTTCTACAATTTTCCCCTTCCTCTTCTTTCCCTTTTGATTTGCCGGACTCACCATTTTCTTTGCTTCATTTTTTTTCTCCTTTTGATCCTTCGATTGAGAGGAACCACACTTTGCAGGAATTTCAACATTTTTCATGTGTAGATCTCATCCCACCATTAAATCATATAAATGTGGGAGTTCTACTGATTTTCTTTTTGAATGAAGAAGACGAACGTTGAAGATGGTGAGAGAGAAAAAGTTAGTTCTCTGTAAAAGAGAAACGTGGGGGTGGGGGTGTGGGATTTACGTGTGGGTAAAAGAGGAAGGTGGGGATTGTTGTGTGAAATTTGGAATAAAAATCCCTAAAATGGTGTAAGAGATAATGACAATTGATTCTCTAATATTAATGTTATCCCTAAAATGGTGGAAGAGATAATGACAATTGATTCTCTAATATTAATGTTATTTCTCTTACTTATTAATTATAATGTAATTATAAAAATAATAACTAATTAATTAAATAAAATAAATAAAATTATAAATTAAAACTAATCTGTTAATATTTGTAATTAAACTGTTATAAGTAGTAATATAAAAAAAGTACATCTAAAGGCTGTAATATTAAGCCTTAAATAGATATATGAGGTGATTTTTCCATTTATTTTCCCTAAATTAATAATAAATCAAAATTTGCTAAGCTTTATTAATTTTATTCCTACCTATGGGCTTGGCCCATTTATAATCAACTAAAAATTAATTATTTAATACATACCCACCAACTAAATAAATTACTTAATAAATATTTGTCAACAAAATAACCATAGTTACACGAATAGTTCAAAATGTCCATTTAGAATCTATGGACAGAGTCTTTTATGAGATAAAAAAGATTTAGTACTCAAAACGATCAAATGGGTCGTTACATTAACCCAAAGATGAGGGACTATTTTGGGCATTCTCTCCAGCTAAGGCAAATGATTTGGCAAACGGATAGATTCCAACTGCATATTCTAGCGAGCTAAGAAGAACAACACAGAAAACTGGAAGCACCATGGCTACGGATTTCAAGTTTATCCCTCTTATAGGTATGAATATTCAAGTCCCTTTTTCAATTTCTTATTTTATTGGGTTTTATTTCTGTTTTTAGTAGAGGCAGAGTTAGATTTTGAATTATATTAATTCTGGATTCTAGAAAATACAGTTTATTGGATTCTTGACAAATTATTTATAAACACAAATAGTTTGAGTCAAAGTTACTAGGTTTTGCCGAACCTGTAGGCGAAGCACTATCTCCGCCTTATGTTGAAACCCTTCTTTAACACTGTTCCATTGTTTCTGGGTTTTTTTTTTTTTCATATGAGACAGATGTAAGTCCTCTTTTGGAGAAGTGGGATCATCCAAATATTGCTCAAGATGAAGGTGTAGCTCAAGTTGTTAAGCAATTAGATCAAGCTTGTAGAAATGCTGGATTCTTTTATGTGGTAATTGTTCTTTATCCTTATAATATTTGTATTTATGGAAACAACCTCTAACAAAAATGTAGGGTAGGGTAAGGTTGCTTATGATAGACCCTTGAGTCCGGCTCTTCCACTCACCCGTGCATAGCGAGAGCTTAGTGCATTGGGCTGTTTTTCTTTTTATTGGTTGTCTTGATTGCAGCCTAACTTTTGTATCTATCCAATTTGCAAATTTTGGGGAAATAGTGTGTTGTCACTGTGAAAGAAGCTAATCTTTTACTGAGTTTTAAGTTGGATCTTTCGTATAAATAGATTGATTGTTGTGGGATTAGTGTCCATTTGATCTCTACTGTTGTTTGTTCCGCAATCTTGCAGAAGGGCCATGGTATTCCTGTTTCCCTTATGAAAGAGATTAAAAACATAGCACGTGAATATTTTCATCAACCCTATGAGGAGAAAATCAAGATCAAACTCTCTGCAGAAACTGGATACAGGTTTATTCCTGTTGTTTGTTATCTTAAATTGTTGCTATTTCGATACGTTATCTTAACTAATGGTTTCTTATGTATCATGAATGCAGAGGATATCAAAGAATTGGAGAGAATATAACCAAAGGCAAACCTGACATACATGAAGCTATCGATGTATGTTATTTAATTTCTTATGGTGTGTGTGTATATATTATTGTAGATAAATAAGTACCCCACTTGTTGTAAAAGGATTATCCAAGCTTTCTTAGGTTTCTTCACCATTGCCTAAAATTTTGAGTTGGATTTTGATTGGCGTTGGATCAAAGTCAGATTTCGATAAGTCTATTTTTACCCGTAAGATCATGCTTTTAGCTATATTCTTTTCTTATTATGGCCAAATTGCATATTATCTCTATTATCTATTATGCAATATATAGCTGTTCGCAATTATTGGCACAATATGGAGGTTCGGGAGTGTGTGTGCTCCAGTTTCTGATGTTCCGTTAAATTGGAACGGAATGAATTACTGTGTTACATGATATTCTAGACGTGTAAATATGTAGTCTTTGGATGTAAGGGGTGGACAAGTAAGGCAACATTAAACTTGTGTGGAGCAAATGAGTTGCACAGGATAACTGTTAATGCAAGAAAGAATATGCCTGGTGTTTGTCTCATCAAAGTAGCCAGTGGAGAAAACAAAAGGAATAAACTTTTTGTTGCTGTTCGCTTCATCTTGATCATATCTTTTATGTGCAGAAAAAATAGAGATTTTAAACAATGTACATATTATAGTGCTTTTCTTATTTACCCTATATCTCTTGGGATTGGGGCTCATTCCATTATAGGTGAATCTTGTTACAATTAATTGGATTGCTGATCTCAATTGTGAACTTCACACTAAGTTCAATAACAAATTGAGAAAAAAATGTTTTTGCTGTTGAAGAACATACTTCAACTATAGACAACATTTCTGTTGTTTGCAATGTTATATATGTGAACTCCTCTAAATGTGTCTTGACACAGCTTTTATAGGAGATGTTTAACATTTATTAGTAATTGTGTTGTTGCTGTTACTAAATCAGCTTTGATGCATTTTCATTTCAATCTCATATGCGGGTTGCAGTGCTATAGAGAAGTGAAGCATGGGATGTATGGAGGTCTTGGAGACGTTATGCAAGGATCCAACATGTGGTAGGTTAACAAGTTACTTATAATGCCTGATCTTTGCACTAACCCCTCCTTTTTTTTCCCTTTGTACATCTTAAAACCCTTGTTATTGCTATTGCTTGGTTTATACAACTGATTGCTAAATGGCTACTTTTGGATTTTGTTGTTTCTTCTTGTTTAGCCTAAGTACATTGTTTTCTTATGCAGGCCAAGTAATCCTCTAAATTTCAAGCAGTTAATGGAGGAGTATATTGACCGCTGCACAGGTGCCTTCCTCTGTAGATTATGTACTCCTTCGACATTTTTGCAATGGATAAAAAGGTTCTACACTGGAACTGAAAAAATGTTGGTTAACTTTTATATTATATTGCTGACAGATCTATCACGAAAGATAATGAGGGGAATTGCTCTGGCATTGGGTGGATCAGCTGATGAAATGGAGGGTGAAATTGGTGGTGATCCATTTTGGGTCTTGCGAATAATTGGTTACCCTGCTGCGTCCATTTCAAATGGACATGATAAGGCTCACGATGATGTTGGATGGTAAGTTGCAGTGCTGGTTGTCACGTTGTCTTTCTGTTATCGGTGGATCTCTTTTCCAATGAGTGATGTTTTTGCTTTCTGTGTTGTCCATATCTTTTCTTGGAATCAAACAAATCTCAGTGGCGCCCATACAGACTATGGTAAAGCTTCTGATCTTTACAAGGATAGTACCCTATCCCCATTGATTACCAATCATGATTGTTTCTTCTCTTACAGGGCTATTGACATTAGTCAACCAGGATGACGATATAGTTGCCCTTCAGGTATAATATTATGTCCCTTGTTCAAATTTCGTTTCCTTCTTTCTGAGCTACTGAGGAAGATTAGCTTCCGAGTCATAAAAGCATGCTTACTATCTCCCTAGATTTTGCAATGCCTCGTCGTACATCTTTGTTTTATGATTTGAAGTTCATCCTTATTTACCGAGCTGATTTGCTGATGAAATGTAGACCTCATTTTTCTCCAGTCCTAATCATATTGAGTTGTTTTAAGGTGAGAATTAAATCGGGCGAGTGGATATCAGCACCACCTATCCCTGGCACATTTGTATGCAATATAGGAGATATGTTGAAGGTATTTAATTTGCTTTATAGGATCAACTTTTTTCATCATTTAAACATTTCTGCTAAAGAAGTTCTTGTTTGCTTCTATTGGTAGATCTTATCAAACGGAATTTATGAATCAACTTTGCACCGGGTCATCAATAACTCTCCCAAATATCGTGTTTGTGTGGCCTACTTTTATGAGGTTAAAACACTTCTCATTTTCTTTTGTGATAATTACAGTAAAAGAATGATGGTACAGAGTAATGTTAGTTTCTGATGATTTGTGTTTAATTTCTCGTATAGCCTAACTTCGATGCTGCAGTAGAGCCACTGGATGTGTGTTTACACAAGACTGGTGGCACCACGAAGTTTGAAGGAGCTGTTTACGGGAAGCATTTGGTCAGCAAAGTCACCACCAATTTTATTATGTAGTGATTGAGCCAAGTCTGAAAAAGTGAATGGAATAAAAGCAAGGTTGTATTCCCTTGAAAATAATGACATATCCAGTGTAATCTCATGAAATAAAGGTTGTTTTCGAAAGACTCTCAGTTTAAGTAAGTGAGTAAAGCATATCAAAGCAGTTTTCTTTAGGAATTTGGATATTATTTGATAATTGAAGCAAAGGAACAACATATAGTAGTAAAAATCAAAGGGTAAGAAATTGCAACACTAGTACTAAAGCTACTGATGTACAAGGAAAAACATATACAGTGCATCAAACCTCCACTATTTATAAATCTTCTGGCTAATCTTCGATCTCCATTTTTCAAATACTATATAATTTGAATAGATAAGAATTAATTTTGAATTTATACTTTTAATAGTTTAACAGATTGAATAATAAAAGCCTAAAGATCGAATTTCTGTTGCAATGCATCCAACCTGTCGAAATTCTGAATAGGCACTTTGTACCAATTGAGTAATAGTATCAGTAAAACGTTCCAATTCAGAGATATAATCTCGTGAGTTGTGCCAATATTAGATGGAATTGTGAGTGCCTGCCTAAGCAAACATGGGGAGGTCAGATAATGTCATGTAAGAGATTTAATTGCAGGACAATCTTCCAAATGTGGAGTCTTGAAGATGCCGTAACCAATCACAGCTATCTTTTCATATACTCCCTCTGTTTAAAAAAGAATGGTCTAATTTAACTTGAAACCGAGTTTAAGAAAGGAAAAATGACATTTTAATCTTGTGGTTCTAAATTAAAGTTATATTAAATGTATCAAAATGCTCTTTAATCTTGTGTCATTAAACATGCCATGTAGAAAAACTAAGTGAATAATTCATGTTGATTGGTTAAATTAATTCATATTCATTGATTGAAATTTAGACTTCAAAATAAATTAAAGAAGGGCAGAATAGTAAAATTTACTTAATTTCTTATTATACGTGAAATAAAAATGAGAACAGAGAGAGTACTATATATATATATATATTATTATAAATATTATTCACTTTATTATGAAATAACTATATAAAGTAGTAGTAATCAAATTTAAAATTTGAAAATATAATTAATTCAGTAAACTAAATATTTTAATTATTTTTTCTTAAATCGACCCGAATCAAATAATATATATCAGAGATGCATGGACCTTGTTAAAGAAGTACCAAATACGGTACCATGGTCTGCTCCTATTTGAACTAGGAACTATTTTTTTTTAAAAAGGATTACTGTTATGAATTCCCCGTTTTTCTGTAGTATGGAAAGAAAAATACTTTTAATATTTTTAAATTGGTCAATTTTTATTTTTTAAGAAAAACTTTCTTTGTAGTTTGTACCCAAAAAACAGCCTGTTACTAGCTGATTTCCACATGGAACTGTCTCTCACATGACAGCCGAACTGGCTAGTGATTAAAATATATTTTAACTTAAAATCATTTAAAATAAGCTAATTCAATCGTTAGAGTATTTCTGGATTAGCTTGGGCTTAAAAGTTTAATTTAGAAATCATAACTTATATTTTTTGATTTGTTTTTATTACTTTGATTTAAAAATAAGTGTTTTTAAAGTACTATTTTATCTTATACAAATACTATTTTTTTTAAAAAAACTTAAAAACACATCAAATAAATCAATTCAAATAGGCTCTAAGCTTTAAAATTCAGTAATTAACACAATTGGATCATATCAGGAGCAGAAAGCTAATAATGATGAGGAACAAGCTGCGGTGTCATTGATTTTAACTCATATTTACAGCATAATGTCACATTTATCTAACGATCGCAAATTTCACATTTTACGAAGACTTATAATAAGTAGTAGTAAATCAAATACCCGTTGGATTCTAGTGTAAAATACGGATGGCGTATAGAACTTTTTAGAATGCATGTACAAAAAATCAAAGGGAATATTATTTTGTCTATAAATATATATGTTGTACTGTGTTCTAGTGTTGAATGAAATATAATACTTACTATACTCAGAAGTGAGAAGCAGCAATGGCTATGGATTTCAAGTCTATCCCTCTAATAGGTTTGAATTTTCAAGCAAAATTAGAAGCCTATTAGTATTATGGTTATTGAAACTTTGCTTTAAAAAAAATCGATTAATTTTAGTAGTATTTTCATGAGACAGATATTAGTCCTCTTTTGGAGAAATGGGATCATCCAAATGTGGCCCAAGATGAAGGTGTAGCTCAAGTTGTTAGACAATTAGATCAGGCTTGTAGACATGCTGGATTCTTTTATGTGGTAATTATTTCTTCTCTCCACTAACATTATTTTCTTTTCTTACATTAATTAACATAGTACTAAGTGGTAAAATAGACAAGGGAGGCTGATTATATCATAATGCAGATTCATCTAAACTCAGTATTTTCAATGCCAAGTGTAGTTTGCAGTATAGATCTACATATGATGTGTTTGTACATTTGACCCTGTTTTTGTTTCTCTGTTTGGCAATTTTGAAGAAGGGGCATGGCATCCCAATTTCCCTTATGGAAGAGATCAAAAGTGTTACGCGCGAATATTTTCATCAACCCTATGAAGAGAAAATCAAGATCAAACTTTCTGCAGCAACTGGATATAGGTTTATTATATATAGATTGTTACTATCATATTATCTTAATTAACTACAGTAATACTAATTGCCTATGTATCTTTGCCTGCAGAGGATATCAAAGACTTCGAGAGAATAGAACTAAAGGCATACCTGATATGCAAGAAGCTATTGATGTAGGTTTGATTATGCTATACTCAAAAAAAACTGAAAAAATTGTTTTTGCTGTTAAACTTTAAGGCCATTCTTCAACTACGGACAACAGTTCTCATGTGAACTTCTCTTTTAATTTCCACATTCTAGGAATACTTTGTTTAATAACTATTACTCTCTCCGTTCTAATTTATGTGGCACTGTTTGACTACACATGAGTTTTTGATTAAAAAAAGAGAAAAGGAAGACTTTTAAAACTTGTGGTGTTATATAAGTTTTAGACATTTGTGCCTCTGTCTAAATATAAAAAAGTGACATTCTTTTTGGGACAGATAAAAAGAAAAGAGTGTCAGATAAATTGGGATAGAGCTGATCGAGTAGTAATTGGTGTTGTTTCTATTTGTAAATCATGTTTGATGCATTTCGTCCCAATCTCATTTGTGGATTGCAGTTCTATAGAGAAGTAAAACATGGGATGTATGGAGATCTTGGAGAAGTTATACAAGGATCCAACATATGGTAGGTTAACAAGTTACTACTGCTTGTTATGCATTTCGTATTTCTCTGTTTTGTTTGGCATTAGTGCATTATTTTTTTTCATATGCAGGCCTAGTAACCCTTCAAAGTTCAAACAGGTGATGGAGCACTATATTGACCTTTGCACAGGTGCCTTTCTCTTTAAATTACATAATCATTTGATGTATTTGCAGTGTCTAAACTTACAAAATATTTCTACATTGGGACTGACTTTTTTCAGATGTATCGCGTAAGATAATGAGGGGAATTGGTCTAGCGTTGGGTGGATCAGCAGATGAAATGGAAGGGAAAATAGCCGGTGATCCATTTTGGATCTTGAGAACAATTGGTTACCCTGCTTCATCCATCTTAGATGAACATCATAAGGCTGATAATGTTGTTGGATGGTAAGTTAATATTGGATGGTCATGTTATTGGTATATCTCTTTTCTAATGAGTGATAATATCGATCTTTTGCTTTCTGTGATCTTCATCTTGATGAATCAAATAATACTCAGTGGAGAGCATACAGACTATGGTAAACACTTGATATTTTTACAAGGATTTCACATTCTCCTGCATTGATAATTGGCAATCATGAAAACTTGTTTTCTTGTATTTCAGGACTATTGACGTTACTCAACCAAGATGATGACATAGTTGCACTTCAGGTACAATTTGTAGTCCTTAAAGCATGCTCAATTTTACATGAAATATGTTGCTGGTTTTAGTTTCACTACTAATCAATTTGAGTTGTTTAAAGGTGAGAAACAAATCCGGTGAATGGATATCAGCACCACCAGTTCCTGGAACATTTGTCTGCAATATAGGAGATATGTTGAAGGTACGAAATTGTACTTTAGTAACTTCTGCATCATTTTTACCCACCACTACTTAAGTTATTCTTGTCTGCTGGCTATTGATAGATCTTATCAAACGGAATTTATGAATCAACGTTGCACCGTGTCATCAATAACACTCCCAGATATCGTGTTTGTGTAGCCTACTTTTATGAGGTTAAACACTTTCTTTTTCTTTTGTGACAACTAAAGTAAAAGAATGAGGTATGGTTTAATGTTAGTTTCTGTTTATTTCTCGTATAGCCCAACTTCGATGCTACAGTAGAGCCACTGGATGTGTGTTCACAGAAGACTGGTGGCACCAAGAGTTTTGAAGGAGCTGTTTACGGGAAGCATTTGGTCAGCAAAGTCTTCAACAATTTTGCGATGTAGAGAGATTGAGCAAGTCTAAATTTGTTTCCTTTTTTGGTGCACATGAAAATAAACGAGTGCCAAATACAATGTCGCATTATAAAACTTAAGACAGGCACTGTTCAGTCTGTTCTCGCTTTCAAGTTTTCAAACTAGCAGAGAGTAAAGTTGTCTACATGGTGCTCTTGACACTTCAAGCACCCAGCACCGCACTTTATGGAAAATAAACTAAGGAGGTCTTCATCATACGACCGAAGCACTATAGCATTACCTCCCAAATAATCAGTCCAAGTGCATCTATTGGATAACAATTTAGTCACCTTACAAATAATTAGTCAGGATACAAATCGAGATGTATGAAAAAAAGTGTGTAAATTATCTCAATGATACAAGAAAAATGTCAGTATATAATTATACAAAACATGAGGTAAAAGGTTGAGATACGTTTACCCTCCACCTACTTTGACCAACATTAGTGCGCACACAACATTTTTCAAGAACGAGCTGGAGTGAAAAAAAATGACCTGGTGATTCACCATAGCTGGCTCCATCTTTCTGATTAAAACAGAACTTGAGCAACAAGTCAATTTGCAGATACTGCCTGCTGAGTATCCTTCACATAAAGTGGTATTCTCACCCCAAGTTCCTTTAATCGGTTCACTAAATCATAAAGAAATTCAAAGGTG